CACCTAATTTCTTCTAGTTTTTGTAGAGGCCTCGGATAGTTTTAAAAAGGCCTTCTTCGTCAAAGGTGTGCATAAATCCCAGAAAATCTCGTCCCAACAAGAAACGTCTAGATCCCAAACTATTATAAAACGATCGTACTGTCGAGCACTGCTTGCTGCAGGGAAAGGATTAAAGGGATTCATGAATAAACATATAGACACCACTATTCTTGCGTAAACCAGGTCCAAGAGAGTAAGGACTACTTAAGAAAACTAACTGTAAAACTGAACTTGCAAATAATAGTGTGACGACATTACCAAGCGCTCGGGAGAGAGTGAAGGGGGCGGGCGCAGCAACCAGAAGGTTACCCCTTGACATACACGGGGGAAGTGCGGTTTAGTGCATGGAAGTGCTGTGGACTGACAATGCTACGACAGGGAACAGACTTCTGTTGAAAATCTGAAGTTTAGATTAGTGATTGCAGCCACAAACAACGTAATCGTGGCAGAAGTTTCACAGGACTTAAATGTATTATGTTAACCTTTAAGCCATCGAAACATACCATCACAATAGTGACCTACTTGTTCTCTGGTAAGTATTTAAACACACCTTCGAAAATAATAACATTTCAAATGCAGTTGCATCTGAATTATTTCATACTACTTCATGCTACTAATCGTCTCCAGTTTATAGGCAATGTGTTGTGTTTTGCAACGTGTATTCTTGGTGCGAAACAAACAATGCATCCTGCAGGTAACTGTATAGTGTTTGGCGTCCAGCTGTTTGTAATGGTTACAAATGGCCCATGGGCTGATTCGAAAGTTAGTTTGACATAAACTAAGCTTTACCAGCTTATCCTCAATTTACGATAATCATAGGTAACTGGACTGCCCTATTTTTTCTGGCAGGTTGTTGGTACGTGAATGAGATTATATTTAAATTGAAATCACTTTGTTGAGCTTTTTGTACTGTTTAATATTTGTTGTTTGAAAAATATCAAGTGTTTTTTAAGAGGCTCATTACAACAATGGACATACAGGACACTTGGAGGAAAGATTTGAACCCAAAGTATTCCAGAACATTAGCAATGGTTAGCCTAACCTCAAAATCAATGTGTGATCTCAGCCTTGGCATCTCCTATATCATGAGTTGGGTTTCATTTGCAAACACATACATCTCATCTGAATTAACTCATCACGCGTACAGAATTTTGCTGCTAGACTTGTCTCCAGATCACAGAAATACTCTCACATAACTTCTGTTCTGCAGAGATTACACTGGCTTCCCATATCAGACAGAATCCAATACAAAATCAACCAATTTGTTCCCAAGTATCTCAAAAACCTAGCTCCGAAGTATCTATCTGACCTGATCACCAGATATAAGCCCAACCCAAGTCTCCGATCTGAAAATCTTGGTCTTCTTGTTGTCCCACACTTTAGGTCCAGTACCAGGTTTGGTGATCGATCATTTCAGGTGGCAGGACCCACTCTCTGGAATGAACTTCCACTGGAGTAAAGGACAATTAACAACCTGAAGACTTTCAAATCCAAACTGAAGACATACCCTTTTAAGAAAACATACAGTGTCTAACTTTTCATTCTTAAGTTGTTGGGAGAGTGCTACTGAACAGTACATTTGGACTGGAATTGGCGCTATATAAATGTTTTCATGATGATGATGATCGGACAGCACAGAAGATGTGCTCTGAATTCATTTACATATGTTGTCTTTGGATCCATTGAGTGGTGGGTGGAGGGTTTGTTGTTTAACACTGCACTCAACAATATTTCAGCTATATGTCAGTGGTCTGTCAGTAATCACGTCTGGACCAGAAAATCAAGTGATCAACAGCATGCACATCAATTAACGACGACATGTGTCAACCATGTCTGAGAGTCTGACCAGCCAATCCCGCTTGTCACCTCTTGCGACAAGCATGAGCTGCTGAAGACCGATTCTACCCTGGATCTTCACGGAGAAGAAGTTGTAATGACATAAATGTTCTCCTTGCAACTTGATGAAGTGTAGTTTATTATTGATTAGGCTGATATGACCTGTTCAGATAAATAAGCAATGTCGAAAAGAATACATAATGATGTATGGTACAATGTCAATGTCAAACTTTATTACATATGATGGAGCATTGTCAGCATGAACAAATCACACAAGAGGCACATTACTTCTTTCTTTCCACTATTTCAATACAAATGTTTTAGGTCTGAAAAAAGAAATACATTTTATTTCACATCATCCTGTGAAGAATTGCTCAGGGTAACACTGGAGCCTGTTTGGGTTTTTTTAAAAGTAAAGTTTTGAGGCAAAATGAGGAAATATGTCTATAATATCCAACAGATGATACACATACAGTTGTCCATGAGAGAATGTATGAAAGATACATGAAATTTATCTGTCAACAAAGGAATGTCTATAATTTCAACAGTAACAAGTATTTTTTTGCTGGTGAAACCACAAAGAGAGATTATTTTTTACACATAACACCATTTCAAACTGTTTTGAACTCCCAAACACACTAACTGGTAATGAAATAGAACAACTTGGGAGATTCTGTTCATATAACGAATTAACAATGGCCATCACAGATCAATCTCATTTAAATCTGATTAATTACCAATGATGCCACTATACATGAAAATCTGAGAACAATCCACACAAAATGTTGCTCCAGATGAACTTTCTGATCTGTCATTCAGGAGTGAGGCTTCTGATTTCTGTATCTCTATAAAATAAACCCAAACTCAATGATATGTCCTCTAAAAGTAAAAACAAGGCCAATCACAGGATTTTTGCATGGGTATTCTTTCAATAAATTTTTTAAATATTCAAATGAAGATGGAAGAGAAATAAATGCTGGCTAATTTGATTGACTCAAGAGCTTATGCATCCTGATAAACGATGTTACATTGGTAATGAATACATAAATGGTGAGTCTATTAAAGTGTAATTTATATGAAACACCAGCACAGGTCTTTGCACTGAAAAATATGTTCCTGACAATTATTCACAAGGTAGTGAGCAGTGAGGGTCATCAATGTAAATGTATTTATTGTAAGATATACAAGCGAGCCCGGTAATTCCGCGCAGCTGCAATAGCGTACTTCAGTATCGAAGGTAAAATCGTCTACTACCACATTTACGCTTGAAATTGGGACATTTCTACAAGGGACTGGCTTGAATTACTAACAGTAAGTCAATAACAGTAACTGACAGATGAATTGACAGTTTAATGAAAATTCGTTTTCTTCAGACTTTTAAACCTTTTCTTCATTATTCATAATTGGATTTAATATCAAACACTTTTCCTTACATTGATGAAGTGATTTTTGAAAATAATCTGGCCCTAATATGCTTCCATACTTCGGATCTCCAGCTGGATGTTGTGCGCATCAGTTGCTGCGCAGATTTACCGGACAGCAAGCGATGTCGTCAGAACGCCGGTAAGGTGAACCGTATGGCATAATGCAACGTTAGAATCTTATAGTCATCAATAAGACATATATTTCTAGGTAAATAAGATGAATACCAGCATGTTTAGTCACGTAAACCACAAAAAATAAGAGACGTCAGTTGCCGTGTTACGATCGATGTGCTTAGGTGCGCAGAATTACCAGACGGCATTGTATGGAAACCCAGAGTAAAAACCTAACACTTTCAAGAAAATAAAAAAACATTTCACTATTCATTTTCATGCAAAAAAGCAGTCCTTGCATCTGCATGTTATATTTTTAAGTGATATATGACCTCCTATATACGTGATACTTCAAACAGAACAGAAATGATCATGTCAACCCTTAATTAATGGCATAAGGGAAAGTATGTTATCCACTGACACTAGTGATCATGACTTTCTATTATATACTGAAAGGCAAAAGAATCGTCGTAATATTAGAAATGACATTTGAGTATCAATGGAACATTTGAACCTATTTTTTTAAAATAATATGCCACTGAAATGCAGTACCGACTTTCATCAGAGAAGATAACCCCTCTCCATTGTCCCCCACGACAGTTTTGCCGCTGATGTGTCCACTTGGATACGTTCCCGGCGGTGACGTTGGGTGAATATGGGTCTCCTGGCAGGACATCGACAAAACAGGTTCCTGGCTTGGAGACGTCGCCGAATGGTAGGTCACTGACTGGTCGCTGGTGGTTTCCTATGGTCACCCAAGCTGTTTCTCTGGCCCTTGCGAATAGGTCGCGTGTTGATGGACGATATGACGGTCCTGGCGACGTGTTGTTACACGAGGTTGACCACCACGTGGACAGTCATCAGTGCTGCTGGTGGCGTTGTATCGCGACTCTAAGACGTTCTATCGTTCGTACGCTGCAACTGAAGTCATTAGCAATGACTCGAGCATGTTGACCAGCGTGCAGACGTCCAAATAGCTTGTTGTGGTTGATCTCTCGTTAACCTAGTCATAGCTGCTGTGTTCAGAAAACAAGTGAACGATTGCCATTCAAGCCGGTAATTTATGCCTGAATGCATTTATGATGCACTTGCATCTCGATTTCAATGTTGTGTTTGTGCAACTTTTCCCTCTCCAAAAAACAAAAACATTTCTAACTTCAATCTCAAACAATACTTTATTTGGCAATGCAGGCTATACAACCACGATTCATGTTTCCTCAAACTTGACTTCTGGTGTATATTTAAAAATAGGTTCAAATACTCCATTGATACTAAATGTCATTTCTAATATTACGACGTTTCTTTTGCCTTTCAGTATATATTAGCAGGTTTTGATTTACTTTCATCTGTCTAATGCCAATGTTTCTCTTAGAGAACTGCCCTGTGCAAATGATTGCCACTGAAGTAAACATACACTTCCAAAACAATCATGACAATGCTATCATTGTCATATTGGATAGAAAAATAAATCTTAGTCTTAGTAATTGACAAAAGACACAAAAAGACACTTTCTGAATATTGATAGCGTAATTAAGTTTGGGGTTCAATCACCATCTCTCTTCTATCAATGTACTGCCTATTCAGAAGGCTATCAAGAATAAAATAACACATGTAACTGTCACAAACTTGTTTCAACTATGTCACTGTTGTAAAACCTGTTTAAAACAAGAACCAAATACCAAAACGTAGAACTTAAAACTCTCTAGAGAGAAATGTATTAACAAGAAACAAAAATTTGTAAACGTTAAAACAGTTGTACTTTAAATTGTGGATGCAGGAAGATGAAAGGTGTAACACAGCTTGACAAGTACCCCTTTCACTTCACACAATGTCAGCTGACATTCTCCTCAATTTCTCAACAGTACCATGTGTGCATCAGATGACTGAAAGAATTACGCAATGCATATGCATTCCAAATGTCATGTGACAAAACACTTGTACGACAAAGTCTTAATGAATGCAATTTTGTTGAAACCTATTACAGTTGAAGAGTTTCCTTCAAAGCCAGGAAACAATTATGTTATTTCAGGAAAAATATCCACTGCTCTTCCTGGAATGTGTACACAAGAGTCTGGATCCCACAAACAGCTCATTACATTTCAGGAACTGTGTCTGTATCAACAATGTGAACAAGAATTTGAGTTGACTTTTTGTCTTAGTTCTTGAAGGAATATTGATAATACGAAATGAAAATATCTGACTCTGCACCGACTGATGTCCTGTCTTTGCCAGTTGTCCAGTTGTATAACAGGCAGATACAAAGAACTGTGTATCAGACCACACTTGAGATTGTTGTTCAAGGTGTCCAGCCTATGTCTGTTTAGTTGGTCAATATAAGTTGTCAGCATTGGCATTACGGGGTTTCTTTATCTTGTCCATATTTTTATGGATGATATCATAAAGACTCGCCTGAAAAACAAAAAGAGAAACATAAAAGATCAAAATTCTTCAACGTGTAGAACATGATGTTTATTCTGGGTCTGAGTGAGCAAGTGGATATTGTCTTAACAATCAGACAGATACCTTATACTAGCTATGTCATGTTGGCTAACAGATCATAAGTGTCTGGGCCAAACAAACCAGTAACTTAAAGATGAGACATTTCCCATGAAATCAGGGAACAATAGCAAGTTAGGTCACACCTGATCCAGTTTTGTTGACTTTTACAAATAGAAATTGTGTGATAGGACATATTCTAACCTGGGTCACAACAGAATTACAGATTTTGAAACCAACAATATGTCTTAAAGAAAACAACATTGTCACTAAGGTAACATAATACCCCACCGCAAATTATCAACTCAAACTTAAAAAGTAATGAAAGTTTAAGATGAAGTTAAATGTAGGGGTGTCGCGATACGCGAATGTATCGATGCATCGATACATTTTTACTGACAATACGATACGCGATACATGCTTGCGTGTATCGATTCCTATTTTAAAACTTTATCGATTCAAATTTTTATGCTATATCCATCTCCTTCAAAGTCTTGATAGTAAAATTATACGAGACCGCTCCGATAAATAGATGTAGCTAGCTTTACTTAAAAAATAGGTTGGAAACTAACAGCTTTTGTGATTGGCTAGACTATTTTGATGGACCAATCAGCGAGCGCGTACGTTGCCGGTAAGGTAATGCTATGAAAAGGTGTGAAAATTATGTATCGCGATACGTATCGTATCGTGACCTTAAAATCGTGATACGTATCGTAATCGTGAGATTGGTGTATCGTGACACCCCTAGTTAAATGTCAACAAAAACATGACCAGTCAACCTCTCTTGATATCTTGCTCTTTAGTTGTTCAAACACACAAATATTTTCAAGACTGACTTTGACCTTGACATGAATGTCATAGTGTATGAAATATGCAAAAATGGTACTGAAGAAATTGCTTATTGAAAAACATTCAAGGGAAATCTTGAAAATCTATGAAGAAAATCCAGTGAATTCAGGTTAACAAGCTGAAATCTTCAAAGTGTCGCAGTGACCTTGAAAATTATGTGAAGGTCACTAAAATTGACTGGGCCCTGCGCCTTTATTAGATGAAGCTTGGTGTCAAATATAAAAAAATCCAAGGAATGGTTTTTTGCGATATCTTGCTGACTATGTTAACATGCAATTTAACATGGTGAAATCTTCAAAGTGTCTTTGTGACCTTGAAAATTAAGCGACGGTCACCAAAATCGACTGGGCCTTGCACTTCCCTAGATGAAGCTTGGTGTCAAACATGAAGAAAGTCCAGTGAATGGTTCTTGAGATATCTCGCTGACAAGCAAAACATGCAGGTTCATATACTGAAATCTTCAAAGTGTTGCCATGACCTTGAAAATTATGTGAAGGTCACAAAAATCGACTGGGCCATGCGCCTTCCCTAGATAAAGCTTGGTGTTGAATATAAAGAAACTCTAGTAAAACAGTTCTTGAGATATCTTGCTGCCAAGAGTAAAACGTTAAAGTCCCACTGTGACCTTTCTTATACTGTGATGAACCTAGGTACCAAATATGAAAAGAATCTAGTGAACGGTTCTTAAGATATTCCAATTCATACGTACAGACGGACGGACAGAGCCTAATACTATATCCTCCGCTTAGCTAAACGCGTGGCAGGGAATAACAAATATATTTGACTCAACAAAGCACAACATAAACTAATACTGCGCTTGAACTTACATAGTGGTTCCTTAGTTCACAACAAGTTAAGCGTAGACACACATACTCTTTTTCATCAAGTTCGTTGACAGATCGCCGATAGTCTTCCTGAAAAGTATGTTTGAGATGATTAAAACGGGCAATAATTGAAGATCTCATCTGTACAAAGAAGTCTGCACAATAATGGTTCTCTGTGTTCTCAGGCTATAGTCTCATTAGTAGGGTTGGGTAACGCCAAAATTTTTGTATTGCAGTATGTGTTGGCATATTGCAATACGTATTGCAATATATTGTGAAAGTGTGACACATGGTTTAGCTCTTTCAACACCAGTCAACCAGAGGCTTTTACTGCCATGACACTGAGTTCCCATCGACTCTGAGGTCATAGATGAGGCCTATGTTTATGAAGGAAAATATCAGCTTGTAAAACATTTTTTACTGCTACATGTCATACACTATTTGAAAGTATTGCCAATGTGACGTTAAATAATAACTCACTCACTCACTATTTGAAAGGTTTAATCCCAACATATTTATAAATATGAAAGTTATTTTTTACCATAGTATTCAAATAATACAACAACAATTTAAGTTAAGTTTTAATGAAAATGTAAGTTTACACATTATAATGTCTAGATAAACCACGAAGGAAGCAAAAAATGCAGCGATTCTTTCCATTTGTAATATGTCATAATATCCCCTTACCTTTTCCTTCTATATTTTCATTTTTACGAAAACTATTCTAAGAAGGTATCTAAAATAATATATGGACGGCTATTTCCCGATAACTGGATAAGAAGACTCGTACCTAAATAGTACGCCATTACTACCAAAAATCGTGGCAATCGCATATAGTAAAATGTGAAATGAGTCAAATACATTCGTGAAGTTGACATCCATAAATCTTGCTTTTCTTATTCTAAGACTAGTCGTGAACAGGGCCATGAGAGAGGTACGAGTCGCCATCCGGCTTGCCGGAACAACATGAGTAGTTACGAATGTCTGCTATAAGGCTCGTGATTGGTCAAAATCATGCACGTGAGCTAAGGCAACCAATATTATTACAGCAATGGATACCGTCCTCGTAAACGAAAACTTTAGATTTAGATGAAAGTTTTGGGCAAAATCATCCATATTCTGAACGGGTTACGCACAAAATCACCACCTTATGGAACTTAGTTGTCGTATCATGCTTGGTTATGACCTGTGACAAAAATGCTTCAAGCACATATTTTAGCAGTAAACATGGTGTGCAAGCGTGAAGTTCGAGGCAACGAAAGCCCAAATGTTATTTGGCTGACATTTCATGATTGCACTCAAAAAGATGGAAAATAGTAACTTATGATGTACGTTTGACAACTTTTATGACTACTGTTCTTGATTTTATTCTTTAGCTTATTCAATTTGTTTAATTATTTCCTCGAAACATCGTTACTTTGTTCTTTGACAACTTTGATGTGGACCCGTTGCCAAATCGTTTTTTGTTTTCAATAATATTGCGAAAAATAGTGTACAATTCTAATTCCATCGATAATATATGTTCATTGGAAATGTAATAAGTATTTTCAGACATTGTGAAAAGTGATAGATTTAATAAGTGAATCATATGTTAGTTAGGTTCCTAAAATTATATACCATTTTGATGTGCTTACTGCCAGGACGGTTTACCGGCCTTTTGGTGTCTGGGGACTTGTGAGGTCTTGGCCGGTTTTCTGGCCTATGGTGTTAGATGGGTTAACTAAGGTAATGACATTACTGTCTTCCTTTCATTTGAAACAATGCCACTGGCCACTGTCAGCACACAGATGTGATTGACCAATATACATTCTCAAAACTATTAATGTATAATGACATAAAGGAAACGCAAATCTTATCAGTATTTTTAACTACATAACGAAAATTACCGATCATGGTCACGGAAACTGCCGATCGCATCGGGTGAACCGGTTCACAAAAAGTGTACTGCAATATATCGTACTGCGAAGTTCGAATTGCGATATACCGGTTAACCAGTATTATCGCCCAACCCTACCCATTAGCATGATCCGGTTTCATATACAGAAAGGAAATAGTTTAGAACTTGTTAACTCTGTAAGCACATAACTGAACATGTTGCTTTTTACAGCCATTTGACTACCATGATTGCTCTCCTGCTAATACATTCATTAATTTAACACAAGGTATTAATTATATCGTATTTTCTAATGTTTATCATAGACAAATATTTAATATATTTCAGGCTTAGAAAGGCTTTAAAAAAAGAATGGTGTCGGCATGTGACCATCGAAAGGAGTTCCCTAAATAAATATTCATCTATAAGCGTAATACTGGTAACTTGAAGACGCTTGAATGGGTAACTCCTCAGGCAGGAAGACCAAGCTTTCATTCAGTAGTAAATCATACAGTGATTACTATCAAGAACACAAAACATTCATGCGTAACAAGTTAACCAGCTCACCACGTACACCATGTGTGTGATCATAATATTTCAATGAGCAATGAATACTTGTCATAACCAGTTTGTGTAATATCAAGATTTAATTGACACTGCCATCTCATGTCACTTTGCAACCAAATTTACAAATAAATAGGATTTTATGTGGTATGTAAATCATTTCAACTATATAGGCGAGGATTCTGGATATCTTGGGACCAGATAAGCAGGTTCCATTGTACCTCCTCTGACAAAACTTATTTATCAAGTCAACCACCCAGATAATACATTTGAATTTCAAAACCTCTATTGAGTAAAACATGAACATCATCAGCAATGTGATTACAGACCAAAGACTAAAAGTCTACTAACGATATGAGGATATTTTGCAACTTTTGACACTATCTTCCCTCTTGTGATGAAATAGCGTGAGATCTGCTCCAGGTATGTTGCTGCTTCACTCTCCACAGTTCTTGCCTCCGACAAGGTCTCTTCCTGAAAAAAAAATAGTGTGTGATTTCATAACTTCTCTCCAAGCTAGCTGAATGAAATACTACCTGGAATAAATGCTAGGTCAATGGAGGGACCAACAGAAACTGATACAGAAAAATCTCAAATGTTGTGACTTAATATTACTGGCTTGAACTTGTTACATGTACTGTCATTGAGATTTTATTGTTATTAATATATGGACTCTTATTTGCCATGCTTACATTATCTAGAAAAGAGTTTGCCAGAACCTCGCTTCAAACTGGTAAAGAATGTTATAGACTGCTGAATGACACATTCAAAGTGAATATTTTCAACACTTCCACTATCATGTTAATGTTGAGAGAACAATCCTGCTGTGAGGATTTTAGTTTTTCATCCCCCATATTGAAACAATTTTCAATAAAACAACTTTATTACTATCCTTCATATATTAGAATTTTGTGGTTTATACATATCATATGAACATGAACTTAATGTTGAGTAAGAGCCTAACTCTGTCCTTATACATTTAGCAAGGGACACAACTCTTTAAAGAAAAATATAGTATCTATTGGGAGAAATTGCAAAGTTTCACCTGTGTAATTTTAGAATATAATGAACCATTGACAATTAAATTCTAGTAAACAAACAACAGATAAACCAGTAATAATAAAGTAAACAACAAATGTTTGGAACACAAAGAATCTAATCACATACAAAGTTGACATTGTTAATACCTTGTTTTCTATATTTTGCTAGCATAACATAATTAAAGTATTTCATAAACCTGACTATGACACTTGCCTGAATGGACACTCCAAAATTATTGCCATCTTCTATCTTTGGTATAAGAAAACTGATCCACATCTTGATCTGGAAAAAGGTTTAATTGTCATAATTAATGTGAAGAAACAACTTCGACTACATAGCACACATATCTGTAATGTAACTGAAAGCTAAATGACAGCTACCATTCTTTCTCTCATACCCCAAAGTTTGGTTTGCTTTGTTGTTTAACACCGCACTCAGCAATATTCAAGCTATATGGTGGCGGTCTGTCAATAATCATGTCTTGACCAGACAATCAAGTGATCAACAGCATGAGCATCCATCTACGCTACTGGGACAGGATGACCACTCAATCCCATTAGTCGCCTCTTACGACAAGCATGGGTTACTGAAGACCAATTCTAACCCAGATCTTCACACGTTCTCAAACCAAGGAGCAAGCCAGAAAAATGATTAAACTTTATTTTAATGTGAATGACAACATATGGTAAAGCTTACTGGAAGTTTATCTGCACAAAATAATGGCATAATCATAATAGGGACAAGAGATATTTGCTTATACAAGCAAAAACAAGAGAGCTACATTGTCACCACCATTTCCTCGAAGTTCAATGTACCACAATGTATTTAACGGAAAAAATTCAAATTGCTGACCTTAATTAACATAACTTATGATCCAACAATGATGCACATCCCAGGGGAAGAGCAACATTAACAGACAATAAATGATACAATCACATATATCACAATAACCTCAGAGGTGACACTGACTTTGACAGACATGTGTCTGACAATAGCTGTGGTAGTATATGTCAACATGTAATGATGAATATGCAACCAGAAATGAGCTTCACACATTGTACCCAAAAGTATATTAAATGTTTAACAAAACTATAGATTAATACTTTTGATGTGGAATCGAACCCGGGTCAGAAGTGCAAGTCTGTGTGAAATGAGCGCTTTAACCATCAGGCTACCCCATTGTACCCATGTCGAATCGAACCCGACCCCCTGTGTGAAATTGAAACGTGACCATTGATTGAAAACTATTCTGTCAGTATCCTCTGTGCCATATTTACAGGAAAAAAATATGATTGATGAAACTTTTCTTCAATGGTGATCCCAACCTTTGACATCAATGCAATTTCCATTTGATGTGGTAGGATTTCAGCGGAAATATAAACAAGGGCCATCAGAAGATGACAAAAAATATCAGAGTCTTTTATATCATAACTCTAATAGTAATATAAACCTCACTAACAGAATTAATATGCATAACAAAACTTTTTTAAACTCAGGAACATGTATTATCTTGCTTGTGTCTTATAAAGTTACCTATCTTTTCTCATCTGACTTTGGCCAAGCACTACCCTGGGTGTTTGGTGTTGTATGTAACAGGCACAAATACAGTATAAATTTAAAAAAATAAAAAAATGTAACCATCTTTTGACCATGACTCTTTCAAAAGCCTGTGCCAAAACAATTAACCAGAATCATAAGGAAGAGGTCCATGGCCATGTTAACTCTAATGTCAATGATCTTGTCATAAGAAAATCAACTTCTAAACGCCAGCAAAAACCCTCGTAGTCATAAGAAAATCACCTGTAGCAGTGAAAATTGTACAAATACTTCAAGCAGTTTCGTTTCACAGGTCTGCTAATGGTCATGCATGTAAAAATAGATATAATACAACATGAACCTTTGCAAAATCTTAATGATCACCAAAATCAACTCACCAAATTAGCATGTTCAATAAGATCCCTTATTAAAGGTTTCATCTTCTCAGACAAGTCAACAATGTGTTTGTTACAGGGAGCCAGTCCATTAGGAAGAGCTAGTACTCTGGTCCCTGAAGAACAAAATAGAATGTTACATATAACATATATGTTATAAAATAGAATGTCAGCTGATACTGGACCATTTTTCTAAAATCAATCTTTTACTTATACTATACCCACTGCAGGCAAATCCTGCACATGATCATTACCTGTCAAATTGACAAGAGCGATTACATCTTGTTCTGTTTCATCTGCTTGCTGTTTAACACCACCCTAAGCAATATTCCAGCTATGTGATGTTGACATATATATAATGTCTAGTACAGAGAATCAAGAGACTGATTTTGTGAATAACAACGCATGCCATCAGTAAAAGGTCACACCATCAGCCATGAGACAACCTGATTCATTTGATTTCCTCCTACAACAAGAACAGGTTACCAAGGATCTATTCTAATAAAGAACACCCACATGGAACTTGCACAACAATAAATACCAAATTATGTAGTCTTTGTAGATCATCATGCCTGTAGAAAATGTAAGAGCAATGATCCTTGCAATAGTGGCACAATGATACACAATCCTCCATGAGCACAAGTGACCTTATACTACATCGATAGTAGTATAATGACAAAGTATGAATTTATGGGAATGTTACAATCAGAACGCCAACAGTTTTTTGTGGATCATGGATAAAGTTCCACGAGGAACAAGAGGTTATTCTTCTAAAGGATTGCCACGGTACTTAAAACAGTAAACAAATACCTAGCAGTTACATCTTGGTAAATCAAAGGATGTGAAAAAGACACAGCATCTTGTTGATATGAACTATGAACAGTTTGCTAATACTTAGAATAACAGAAGCAACCCAGTCACTGCCATCTCCTCAGAGTGTAATGTCTAAATGCACCACTATGTACAGTACAACTAGAAATTATTGAGAATTTAAGATTGTAATTTCTTTTTTCCTTTTTTTCACTCATTACTCACGTATTAAATGTGAATATTAGCAGAACATAACTCCAGATTCAAAGACAGGTGAACAGTTAGTATTTTGTCAAGTCACCATGGGCAGCAATGCAGGCTTCAATGCGGCGGGGCATACTACTGATCAATGCTGTCCCAATATCGGACCACCTCTTCTTTCATTTCAGCAATATTTGTCAGATTTTCCTTATTGACACTTTCTTTCATAAGTCCCCAAACATTTTCTATTGGATTTAGGTCAGGGCTATAGCTTGGCCAATCTAATAATGTCATATTTGGGGTCCGAAACCAGGCCTGTGAATGCTTTGAACGATGTTTTGGGTCGTTGTCCTGCTGGAAAATCCAAACATTTCCATAGAACACGTGAGCAGATGGAAGTAAATGTTCCTCGAGAGTATCTGTGTACCGCTCACTGTTCATATTCCCTTCAAATACACAGAGGGGCATTGCCCCTGACACAGATATGCCACCCTACACGTTAAATTTCGGACTATACTTTGGGCGCTGATACAAAGGTTTTTTAGTTTGTTTGGTCCAGAATTTCAGTGTATTAGGCAACAGCCACACAGAACTTTCATCTAAGAAAATCAAATTGTCCCAGTTAAAATTTCTATGCTGTAAGCACCAGTTCAACCTTCGCTCCTTTTGTTCAGGTTTCATGGTCGGTGATGGAATTCCTCGACTTTTCTGCCAACCCATTGCATGCAGCTCAGTTCTAATTGTCTCCTTACAGACAGCCACGGTTCCTCTATCAATCATATCCAGCCTTAAGTTTTCTAAACTCCTTCGTTTGTTTTTAGAAACAAGAATACTAAGCCGCCTCCTGTCACCGACAGTCAATTTTCTGGACCTACCTGCGCCTCCCTGGTGCTCAATGCCGTATCCATTTGCAATATTTTTCAATACACAATAAACAGAGGACAAAGGGATGCCTGTTCTACTTGAAATCACTTTAGCTGATCTGATGTCCTTGTTAAAATACTCTAATATCAACTTCCTCTTCTCTAAATCATCCATACTGAGGATCACTGAAAATGCTGTCTGCTAGCAAGGAAACAAAGGGGGATAACTCTTCACAAACTAATGAAAAAGGATTAACGGAGTTGTCTCTCTTGAATGAAACAAAGCACTTGATAGCTGGTCAAGGCTGTTTATACTAGAAATCCAATTAAACATATTCCTAAAATTCTCAATAATTTCTGGTCATACTATATATGAGGTAAACAAATATTTCAATCAGAGATGGACAATCAAGACAGCCTCTCAAATCCAACAGTTACCAAGTTTAAGTTCTTATTTGATCTTTTCAAGACGTAAACAGAAATTCAACAGTTCATTTTGGAAAAGTCCATGGAATATTAATTTCTGTTGTTAATAATCTTTGTCAGAAAATCACTGGCAAAAGGGGATGCAGCAATCACATTCCAACAACTGAAAGCTGTCCAGTTTTACAGGTTACATGCCATTCTGCCTACAGTCCCAATTTGCCTACAAAAAACAAGAAGACAAAGTCATCAATATCCCCCGCAATGGCAAAATACTCTTCATGATTATGTCTACGAGTTATGATTATGTCAAATATTTAGGTGTGTATATAGAAAAGTGAAAGGAGAGCATTGAAAGGAGGACTATCACCAATTTCAGTCTCAGTCAAACTTGTTGCCATGGAAACGCCAAAAATATTTTATTCAGAATTCCAAAACTACCAAAAGGCACCAGTACACCACCAGACCAATCTATGTGCCAAGTTTGGTGAAGAAATATTGAACGGTTTTAGAGTTCTGCTCCGGAAAAGAGCACTACCACCAATTTCAGTCCAAGTCAAACTTGTTGCCATGGAAATGCCAAAAATATTTTATTCAGAATTCCAAAACTACCAAAAGGCACCAGTTCACCACCAGACCAATCTGTGTGCCAAGTTTGGTGAAGAAATAGTGAACGGTTTTAGAGTTCTGCTCCGGAAAAGAGCACTACCACCAATTTCAGTCCAAGTCGAACTTGTCGCCATAGAAACGCCAAAAATATTTTATTCAGAATTCCAAAACTACCAAAAGGCACCAGTACACCACCAGATCTATGTATGTGCCAAGTTTGGTGAAGAAATATTGAATGCTTTTAGAGTTCTGCTCCGGAAAAGACAAATGCGCATGGACGGACGGACGGACGGACGGACGGACGGACAGTCCATTTTAATACCCCCCGCGAAACGTGTTGAGGGGGATAATTACTGTAAGCGGAATGGGAAATGATTTTTGACCTATAAAATAATGGAACGACCCATTTACCAGTCACTGAAGTGTATGTTGTTGGGTTAGGAGAAGGGATAATTAATGCAATTTCACTTCGATTAAACGACATCATGATATTGGTGATAATAAAAGGCAAGATAAAGTTGAAAAGTTAAATGGCAAATGTTCATCATGTTGAATGCACCACTTCTCAAGCAGGAGGACAGCAAGTATTCTTTGCTGGGTACCGCTATTGCCTTAACATCAGAAGACAGACTACAACACATTCTACCATGACTTCAGTAAATACTGGATTGTGATTGGTTAATCAAAGTCATTCAAAGGAATAGAATCACGTTACAGACCTCTGATTTTGGGCCCAGGACGAATAACTATCTTGAGGGGTGGCATGATATGTTGGAGAATTATATTTCATGACATTTTGTCAATTCCAATGAATGAAATGCATTCAGTAAGAATAAATATACCTTATACCTAGAAACACTATTTTTTGTCATTTTAACTCTATTGCCTACAATTGTCTTTTGGTAAAGTTCATTTTAATACAGGTAGAATAGGTCAACACATTAACCTTACTTCCTGATCACTGCACTGCATCATCTTGTTTTAACATGTAGGCAGAATGGGACTGTAGGCACAATGGGAAGACACCGTTTTACATGGCTGTCATTAGTGGACAACTATACCTGATATACTTTCGCCATTGTCAGAAGAGACTTCAACTTTCCTCTTTTTTGATGTTGGCTGAAAAACAAGTATAGTTATTTATGATGAATGTCTCAACAAAGCTTCCATAATCAGATAACTGCTAAGCACATTGCGAAGGCACAAAAAAACAAGAGTCATCAGAAGATGACATATCCCCCCGGCCCCCACATCTTTGAAAGAACAAATCATCTGACAGTTACTTAAAGTCCAGCTTGATTTTAGACTAAGTGCAAATCGTTTCCATGGAAATCATGAAAAAAATAAATGACAAAAATCTGCAACAAAAAGACAAAGTCATCAATATCCCCCGCAATGGCAAAATACTCTTCATGATTATGTCTACGAGTTATGATTATGTCAAATATTTAGGTGTGTATATAGAAATATTTAGGTGTGTATATAGAAAAGTGGAAGGAGAGTATTGAAAGGTTTTTAAAGTTCTGCTCCAGAAAGCAGCACTATCACCAATTTCAGTCAAACTTGTTGCCATGGAAATGCCAAAAATATTTTATTCAAAATTCCAAAACTACCAAAAGGCACCAGTACACCACTAGACCAATCTATGTGCCAAGTTTGGTTAAGAAACATTTAACGGTTTTAGAGTTCTGCTCCGGAAAAGAGCACTACTACAATTTCAGGCTAAGTCAAACTTGTTGCCATGGAAACGCCAAAAATATTTTATTCAGAATTCCAAAACTACCAAAAGGCACCAGTACACCACCAGATCTATCTATGTGCCAAGTTTGGTGAAGAAATAGTGAACAGTTTTAGAGTTCTGCTCCGGAAAAGAGCACTACCACAATTTCAGGCTAAGTCAAACTTGTTGCCATGGAAACGCCAAAAATATTTTATTCAGAATTCCAAAACTACCAAAAGGCACCAGTACACCACCAGATCTATCTATGTGCCAAGTTTGGTGAAGAAATATTGAACGGTTTTAGAGTTCTGCTCTCGAAAAGAGCACTACTACCCAATTTCAGTCTAAGTGGAACTTGTTGCCATGGAAACGCCAAAAATATTTTATTCAGAATTCCAAAACTACCAAAAGGCACCAGTACACCACCAGATCCATGTATGTGCCAAGTTTGGTGAAGAAATATTGAACGGTTTTAGAGTTCTGCTCCGGAAAAGAGCACTACCACCAATTTCAGTCTAAGTGGAACTTGTTGCCACGGAAACGCCAAAAATATTTTATTCAGAATTCCAAAACTACTAAAAGGCACCAGTACACCACCAGATCCATGTATGTGCCAAGTTTGGTGAAGAAATATTGAACGGTTTTAGAGTTCTGCTCCGGAAAAGACAAATGTGCACGGACGGACGGACTGACGGACGGAGTCCATTTTAATACCCCCCGCAAAACGCGTTGCGGGGGATAATAATGACAACAACCTCTAGACATTCATGTATAATTTAACTCTGAATACATGACCAGTCACAATAAGCAACAGGTTTAGATGCCAGGGTCCTGTTTTACAGACCAATATTAGTGCTGCTGTTGTTGTAAGTCTGTGTTTAGACATGGGAGCTATGATTGTCTTTGTATTAAGATCACTTAGTGGAATAGTTTGGTTTTGGTTAGTTTGGTTGTTGTTTAACGCCGCACTCAGGAATATTCCAACTATATGGTGGCGATCTGTAAATAATTGATACTGGACCAGACAATCCAGAGATCAACAGCATGAGCATCGATCTATGCAACTGGGATACAATGACACGTGTCAACCAAGTCAGAGAGCCTGACGACCCAATCCCATTAGTCGCCTCATACAAGAAGCATAGGTTGCTGAAGAACAATTCTCAGTCTAAGTAAACTTAGGCTAAATATTATTCGTTACACTACTATACTGAGTCTAACAAAAACTGGTAGAAGGTCGCGTCAGCTAACCTTTTGGACTGACCAATCAGAACACAGCTTACCAAATCACAAAAGTTAACATTCGCACATACTGTTTGAACCTTTACCTAAAAATCAAACGATTCCGAATGCTATTTTCCGCACGATCGCTTCCGAGTGATACACGCAATGAGTAAACCAGTCGCTGAAAAATGGCGTTTTGTCAAGGATGTCATCTTGCGAAAATATAAGCAAATAGTAACCATGTCATTAGAAACCACAGGGCATGTGACTTTAAAAAAGTAACTTGTCCTGACTAATTTTCTACTTGCCCTGATTTTATGACATAATTATGATGATGTAATTATGAAAGAAGAAATCAACATGGTATTTGATGTTAATGTTTACTGGACTATTTATTGAAAAGTGATAAATAGCAAAGAAAGATAACTCTACTTTATTATCATTGCGAAATGTAATAGCTACATTTTGAGCAGATATGAAATTAAATCCAAGTTTATTTGCGGTTTGAAACCATTAGTGGAAATTATCTAGTAGCCCACGGACAAGTAAGATGCCATTATTTGATTGCCCGAAATGAAAACTGACTTGTCCCGGGCGTCGGGCGATGGGATTTTTAAACCCCTGTGCATATAACAAATGATTTGATTTACTCTTAACTCTTTCAACACCAGTCAACAAGAGGTTTTTTACTGCCATAACACCGAGTTTCCAGAGATTCATAGATTCATAGACGAAGCCTGTGTTTATCAAGGAAATTACCAGCTTGTAAAACATTATTGCTACTACATGTCATACACCATTTGAAAGATCTAATCCTACTGTTTATAAATATGAAGGTTGTTTTATCATATTATTCAAATAATATAAGTTAATTTACAATGAAAATGCAAGCTTACACATTTATAATGTCCAGATAAACCACGATGGAAGAAACACATGCAGCTATTTTTTTCCATTTGTAACATGACATAATATCCCCTAAACGTTTTATTTTATATTTTCATTTTTACGTAATCAGAACATTATTATAAAAAGATTTCTCAAAAAACATGTATGGTTGTCTATTTCCCGATATCAATGGCTTTCCGCCCAGTAACGTGACACAACAGCAGGAAATACCACCTTCCAAGAGTATTTCACGTTTGTTAGAAATAGAAGCAATTTTAATGGATAAAGATTGGTTTCTAATGACGCTTTTTTGCCACAGTCTGCTATAAAGATGGTGATTGGTCAAAATCATGCACATGACCTAAGACAGCAATCAAAATACAGCAATGGATATCGTCATCGTAGACGGAATCTTTGAGACTTGGGCAAAGTTTTGGGTTAAACATGTTATTTTGAACGCGTTATGCAAAAAATCACCACCTAAACGAACATTATAGAACTTAGTGGACGCATCATGCTAGATTATGGCTTGTGACAAAAATGCTTCATGCATAAACATCGTGTCCGAACGTGAAGTTAGAGGCGACGAAAGCCGAGAGGTCACTTGACTTACACTGCACAATCGCACAAAAAAGATGGAAACAGTAACTTATAACGTACGTTTGACAACTTTTATGAATACTGTTGTTGATTTTATTCTTTAGTTTTCTTCAGTTTGTTTAATTATTTCCTCGAAACAACGTTACTTTGATCTTTGACAACTTTGATGTGGACCCGCTGCCGAAGCATGTTATGAGAGGCATTTGCATAAGATAGTTATACGCTATCGGGGCCGGTAGTAAACAACTGATTGTGTGGAAATGGATAATGGACCTTCACATAATTTTCAAGGTCACTGCGACACTTTGAAGATTTCAGCTTGTTAACCTGAATTCACTGGATTTTCTTCATAGATTTTCAAGATTTCCCTTGAATGTTTTTCAATAAGCAATTTCTTCAGTACCATTTTTGCATATTTCATACACTATGACATTCATGTCAAGGTCAAAGTCAGTCTTGAAAATATTTGTGTGTTTGAACAACTAAAGAGCAAGATATCAAGAGAGGTTGACTGGTCATGTTTTTGTTGACATTTAACTAGGGGTGTCACGATACACCAATCCCACGATACGACACGTATCACAATTTTAAGGTCACGACGATCGATATCACGATTTCTGATACATAATTTTAAGCGCTTCTTCATAGCATTACATTACCTGCAGCACACGCATTAACGCCGCTGATTGGTCCATCAAAATAGTCTAGCCAATCACAAAAGCTGTTAGTTTCCAACCTATTTTTTAAGTAAAGCTAGCTACATCTATTTATCGGAGCGGTCTCGTATAATTTTACTATCAAGACTTTGAAGGAGATGGATATAGCATAAAAATTTGAATCGATAAAGTTTTAAAATAGGAATCGATACACGCAAGCATGTATCGCGTATCGTATCGTCAGTAAAAATGTATCGATGCATCGATACATTCGCGTATCACGACACCCCTAGTTATGAGTAGTGCTGGTATTGGCATACAACCTGCGATACGATACATCACGATACTAAACTTTTAATCACGACGATATATTGCCAAAGTATTGTGCACTGAAGCTGCGATACGATACGAATCCCGATACAAGGGTGGCGATACGATACGTATCACGATACTGAAATCTTAAATTTTAACACCAACTATAAAACACCTTAAGATAAAAACAAAACAATTTTAAAGTATTTAGCCAAATTCTTATTCAGCCAGCAGTTTTTCAATGTTGATTCGGAAATGAGATAATTAAGTTTATACACAGACTTTGTGAATGTTAATAAAATGCGAGCGCTCTGTTTGACACAGTTCCTGACGCAAAAATTTCCGAGAAACTTATGAAGAGAAAATATGTATGCATATATTTTAATCATCAAACAAAAGTAAGTCTTTCTTGTCAGATATTGCGATTCGGCAATATTCAAAGTGAAACATCGATGTATCGTGGCTCATTTTAAGTATCGCATCGGGATATACGGCAATGTAAAACTTTGTATCGATTCACTGTATCGGCGGCCCATGGAACGATGCATTGATGTGTATCGATGAATCGTCACACCACTAGTTACGAGAGGCATTTGGTGAGAGGCTATAATTTATCAGATAGTTATGCTCTTTTGGGGCCAGTTGTAATGAACAGAGGGTGTTTATATTTATACCTAAAATTGTCAGTTTTGCACGCTCTTTCCAACCTAACACAGGAGGTATAGCGAGGGACCACTATCATGTTTTCAATAAAGTGACATGATGTACGTAGATGTTATCTTGGATTTCTGCAATGTTAGATTCACTAGTCTGGTGGTGAGAGTTGAAAATGGACGATCTCAATTGCAGTATTTGATGAATAATCATTGAAAAAAACTAGTACCGTATATTACCGTCTATAAGCCGAATTTTGAGGACCCAAAAAAAGCAGTCTGTATAGTGCGTTTGGCTCAAAAGCGAACCGATGAATTGCAATCTAACACGACAACTAATAAACATAAAATACTCAATGAAACACTGATTATAATGAAAACGTCAGACCAACTCTGAGAGGTGTTTGCAGAATTTATGTCCTAAAAATTAAAAAGTTGTTTAACAAACTATCATTAAAATATTGACACAGTTCACTATTTGTTACGAGGGAGGAGTGCAGAGAAAGGGACAGCCGGATGTGCGAGAAAGGATGGAGACGGCACAGCACAGGTTAATGAATCAATTACTTTGCAATTAAACATCACTAGACAAGATTATTTACCTTTTAAGTTCTAAGTTGTTTTGCTGGGCATTGTATTATTTGCCGGGATTAAGATTACCGTGTGTATCTGAGCCGGAAATAGCAATCAGCTGTGCACATGTTTCCCGGCGATCCAGTTCAAACATGCACGAGACGAATCTTGACGCAGTCATCAGTAAAATATAATACAGAATACTATTATTTAACCCAAAGAAATATATCCTAGCATTGTGTAATTTTAATTACAGTTTTTGCTCTATAAATCAATTAAGATTAAGATTACTGTGTGTATTTGAGCAGGAAATAGCAATCAGCAGCGAACAAGTTCAAACATGCACAATAATATAACAGAACGAATTCTGACGCAGTCGTCAGTAAAATATAATACAGAGTACTATTATATAACCCAAAGAAATATAACCTAGCATTGTGTAATTTTAATTACAGTTTTTATGTAAAATATATATAATCAACACTAAGGTTATACGGACCCTCATGAACGTGGTAAGCAGAAGTTGTACGCACATGAAATGGGGTAAAATACGGAAGCCATTTAAATTCACATATTTTTACCGATGTTACTGTAAACTAGCAGTCAGTGGAAAACGAGGCTGTAATCAGTTCGTGATTGTTGAATGGGGTAAAATAAGCAAGCCAGTTTGTTGCTACAATAAATATGCTTTTTAGAGAAACAAAATATATTATGCATTTTCTGTCAACTACTCTTCGTTTCGATCCGTGAGTAGACCCAATATATATGATTGTGAATTCTTTGAATAATGTGGACCAAAGTTATAATTATTGGTAACTGCCAGTTGTCTGTGGTCTGTGTTTGCCGCGATTAGGACCCCATCGCGGGGGATCAACTTATGCACGAAACATACCATTTTGACACTGATTTTAAGGGTCAAGTTTGGGGGGCGTCTTATCCATGGGGTCATGTTATAGATGGTAATATACGGTAGTCCTCTGGACTAGTGCAAGTTTGTTTCCATTCCTCAGACTAAATTTTTATTCGCCTCGGGCTTGTGGGCGAGCGTAAAGATCGAACCCTGTAAATCAACTCTGATTTTCCATTGTTTCCCTTAAAAGATTCTCATTTGTTTAACAGGGGATCTGTCACCTAACAGATTGGCACAGGAAAATCTGTGGATTGCTGGATTTGATACTGTAAATCATAAAATTAATGCGTCACGAATTTAATGCGAGTGTGAGGTTCTAGTCTAAAATGCGTCACAAAACTAATGCGAGCTCAGGAATCTGTGTTGATGAGAAAATGTGACACCCTGAATCATTGATGTTCATTATCTTTTCACACTTGTTATTTACCAAATAACCTGAAGTGAGCTTGTTAAGCAATGAATTGAATTGAGCTGACGAGCACAGACGCATTTTTCGCATTAATAAAATGCTCAGTCTAAGTAAACTTAGGCTCAGTATTATTCGTTACACTGCTATACTGAGTCTAACAGAACCTTATGGAAGGTTGCGTCAGCAAACCTTTTCAATTGACCAATCAGAACACAGATTACCAAATCGCGAAATTTAACATTTGCACACACCTTTTGAACTTTTACCTCGAAAAAGCTTTGTACCCAAATGATTCCAAATGCTATTTGCCGTACGATCGCTTCCGAGTGATGCAAATGGAGCATGCCACAACAGTGAGTAAACAGTCGCAGAAAATAGCATTTTGTGAGTATTCAAGGATGTCAGCTTGCGGAAATATTAGCTAATGATAACCATGTCAACAGAAACCCCAAAGCATATAGTCTGCAGGTCATATATCTGTGTTTTATGCGGGTTTTCATTTGTTGTGAGATCAGTGTTGGTGACCGGGAAAGAGAAAATCCATCTTGTAAGTCCCGCCGAACCCTAAATAGTAGCCGTTGTCTGATTGGTTAAATCTGTTCGGTCGTCTTGCGTTTGATTGCATGGTCATAGGTCGCTCAAAGGTTACCTGACGCGACCTTCCACAAGGTTTTATTAGACTCAGTATAGCAGTGTAACAAATAATACTGAGCCTAAGTTTACTTAGACTGTAAAATGCTTGCACTAATTTCATGATTTACAATACCTACCCCACCTCATTGAAAAATAATGCTGGTTTCACCATCTGATGATGTGTTGAAATACGAACATTAGCAGTTAAACGTGTTTATGATGCTATGAAATGTAAAGTTAACAACACACAAAAGAATACTTGTTAAAATAGTTTTCATGCCAAACTTGATTGTGTTCGATTATGAGAAAACGTGATTGATTGCTTGGTCATTTGGCCAGTGCAACCAATCTTCAACCATTGCAAATAATCAGAACAAACCTCATAACTAGACTCTTAAGCTGGGTTCAACTGTAGCAGAGAGACAGTTGACATGAACACACATGGTACATGTGAACTACAAATGAATTAATGCCCAACCTCTTCAGTGTCGGGAAGCAGCAGTACAGGATCTGGCACTGGGATGTTTAAATCATTGTGGACTTCAGACAACTTGGTCAGGTTCATGGACTGAAACACAAGTGATTCATAATTCAAAATATATATGCTTCAAACATTTGAGAGAATTTCACATGTGAAACAAAGCACAAAATATAGGAAAAGACAAAGCAAACTTTTCTATGAAAGGTTGATATAGCAATTTAAGTACATGGGGCCTAAGGTCATATCATTTCCTCCCGACCCAATGCATCGCCCCTACATTACCATGAGATTGGTCTTTCTTTAAAGAAAACCCAACATCTTTACAGCTTCCCTTAGGCCTAAACAAAACAAATGCTGTGGTTCCGATTACCCAACCGATATTTGAATTCTGGTGCCGACCCTAATTCTTTTTTAAATCCTACCTACCTACCCTAAATTTTAAAGAGGTGTAATCGGAACATTTTTTTTATTTGGCCTTAACATACCCTCATTTTCAAATGGTGAGCTCCTTTACATCCTAAATATAGATAGAAATTTAAGATCTTTTATACTACACGTACACCGATTTTCCGCACTGAAGTTTAGATTAATTCTTAGATCTTCATATAACTTTGTGTACGTTTTATTTCATCTACCTAGTCATGAACACATAACCAAATGACCTATCCTACATAATAGTAATAAGGAAGAACATATGGAAGAGCAGGAATGACCAGTGAGGTAGCCATGGTACTGTAGCTCACCCGGGTATATCGATGCTTATAAACTATAGTCCGTTTGATTTCATTTGAGACCGATGAATTGCTCACTAACACAAAATCTAATAATTGCAACAAAACCAAATTTTGCACAGTCACATGAAATCGACAGTCCAACTCTGATGATTTCTCTCATAATATTGGACACCTGAATAAAAACGCTATTTAACAAACGATCATTATTTTGTTGTCACTTTTTGCAATTTTTAACAAGTGGAGACCACGTGCTGGTAGAACAGCCTTGTGTGCCAGTTGCATGTGTGAAATTGAAATTTCACTGCACACACTTGTTGATTACCTGGCTTTTCTACCAGCAAGTGACCCTCTCTCCTACAAAATAGCGAAAAGTGACAACAAAATAATGATCGTTTGTTAAAGGGCAAGTTTACACAAAAATTAACCTTTTTGTCTTGCACTTTTTCATCATAAAAAGTGTTTGTCAAGTAGTTTTATGGCCAAAACAGTACAGATATCAGAATTAACTAATTTATTTTTTGCGTCATATCGATTCTAATTTTCCTCATTAACCGAGAGTTCTATGTCCACAATAAACACACCATGGCTTATGTCCCTTGGAAATGACGTCATTGGTGCCAAACCAACACGAATGACCTTGTTAGACCCATTTCACGTGGTGCAGGTATAGGTGTGGTTCTTGTGTCTCGATGCGCAGGCTACTGTTTTAAAATCCAGCTGTTGCCTGGCCGTCAGCTGGCTATGTGGTAAGTTCCACACTGTGATGACATTACAGTTTGAAAAAACGTATACATTGTACAAACAGTGTTACCACGTAACCAAATTGTACAACATTCAACCAGAGTCTGTCGCCTTTCAAACCGTATCGTTTTTCACAAAAAATAAAACGTTTATGCTCTACATCTAGCTTGCCATCGGTGAATGTGTCGGCATTCAATGTTTGTTACTTGATTCCTACATAAATCGTACAATATATGTCCCACCTCTTCCACTCTTCCCACCTACCGATACCATATCCAAATACATCACAAAGATAAATGCAATTGGCAGCGGCATTTTTGTTGTTGTTGTTGTTTGATCGAATCACCAATGCTCGTTCTGAAATACTGTCGATGAACCGAGAATCGCTGAGAATAGCCATATTGCAGTGTGTATAAAATCATGTCACAGTTCTCGTCCACTTTACACAGATGTGAACATCTAATCCCTGAATTCCTCATACAAATGTCTTTGTCACCAGTACCAAATGTTTCAGTGAAATCTAACTAGTTAAATATATCAGATGCCGCTGTGGGAAAGGACCACTTGTTTGAAATGTAAACAAAGTCAATCTAAGATTTCACTCTGTATATCTGTTCGGCCTACTTTTTGTTGCATACACTTGCTCATTAGTTTTAGTTAAATAAAATAGGTGTATTCCAATGATTTCCGAGATTCATCACAACATAGTTTCTAAAGGCGTGAGGCCCTCCCTGACTCACGCAAACTCACGCACCCCGACAATTTCCTCATTTGTGACTATTTCCCATGGTCACAATGAAAACAAAAAGAAAATGACAACCGGCAGATTGTCATTCTAATGTTTCGGACTACTTACATGTCACATTTATGTATATACGTTGCTTGAAACGAAATTTTCCGTCGAAAAATCCGGCGTACTCGTGTCAGTGAACATGCCATTTTGAGAGTGTCGCTTCCCGATAGTGATGTCATACGTACATCAACAATGTTACACATATTTGGTATTTTCATTGACGTGAGGTTATGAATGAGAACACACACGATCAATCTCTCCTGCTGCTTACATTTTCAGTTCTTATGCTTCTGTCGTATTTTCACAAACTTTTCTCACAATATTAATTTCAGTATTATTATCTTTTGATTTGGGACAAGACAGGAGACCAGTCTAAAATCAAGTGGCACCAATTACGTCATAATCAAAGGACGGTAACTCTGGCCTGTTTAGCTCGGCAAACAAGGGCCGCATAATGGCTTAACATTTCAGCATTTATTTTGAGGGTTATACTTTCATTGTAAGAAAAATGAGAGTATAATTTCAAACACTGATATTAAACAATTAAAATATTTCACTTTGTTTCACATAAGAATAAATGTGATTTTATCGTGCACATTTCCCCTATACAGAGGCCCAGATAAGCTGCGTATCCGGGTAAAATACGCATAGAAAATGTCCAATTACGCATTGAGAAATAATTGTTGCGTACCAATTACGCATTTAAAATGTTAGATACGCAAAAAGTTTTAAAAATATGTGTACGGAATATATTTATAAAAATCGCTTGCGTAATGAAAAAGACATCGATTGCTATCACGTTGTACTGTTAGTATAGGACTAGTGTTGTACTGTCACTACAGGATGAGTGATTTTTTTTTATGAAATCATTTCCATTATATTTAAGTTGGTTTTGATTAGGTATGGCATAAGGCAAGAACATACCTGCTTAGTAAACTTACTCAATGACATAATACTTAGGTGAGTAAAATGACTGAAATACGCACATATTTGAAAGCAGTGGGTAACGGAAAATGAAATACCCACTCAACATTCATAATACCCACTCCAAAAATATACATTGGGTACAGTACCCACATGAGCTAAATCTTATCTGGAGCTCTGCCTATAAACAACTTTTTTATTTGGGTGTCCAAAAATATGAGACAAATCATCAGAGTTGGTCTGTCTATTTCATTTGACTGTGCAAAATATGGTTTTGTTGCAATTATTAGATTTTGTGTTAGTGAGCAATTCATCGGTCTCAAATGAAATCAAACAGACAAAGTGGCTATCAGAATGTATTTGCTGGCTGACAGGGCTCTGATATCTTATGGATACAGACTTAGAATCCTATGCATGAGAGAGTCCAGAACAGTCTTGTGCACATGTGCAAAGCTCTAGCTGCTGAACCCATAGCAAGAAGCAGGTCTGTGTTTCTTGTCAGTTGTAGGAGGTGCACCCATTGTATGTTACACAGGATATAAAACCATTAACATACAGCCCTTTAAAACTATACACACAGGGGTTCAAAACTTTTTGTAAAAAGCCACTTGCCACAGGGCAAGTGACTATAAGAAAGTAACTTGTCCTGACTAATTTTCTACTTGCCCTGATTTTATGACATAATTATGATGATGTAATTATGAAAGAAGAAATCAACATGGTATTTGATGTTAATGTGTACTGGACTATTTATTGAAAAGTAATAAATAGCAAAGAAAGATAACTCTACTTTATTATCATTGCGAAATGTAATAGCTACATTTTGAGCAGATATGAAATTAAATCCAAGTTTATTTGCGGTTTGAAACCATAAGTGGAAATTATCTAGTAGCCCACGGACAAGTAAGATACCATTATTTGATGGGATTTTTTAACCCCTGACACAACAAGCTAAATTTGTTTTAGAGATCAATTGGTCACAGTAAATGTGTACATATACAAAACAAACTTTTTCAAAATTAACTACTGGTCTTAGTAGGAGGAGTTCAAAAAGATAGCATAGCTTAATAGTTGGTCAGAGGTGAATGATTGGAGCAGATTGATCGATACGGCAAACACTGTAAAATCAAAACATGCAAAACATGCACCAGAACAAAATTTCATGCTACAAGTGTTACCAAATTAACATATATATGATATAATATGTAATATAAGCATCTGCATATAAACAACTATTTGACTTATTAGTACTGAAGCTGAAGAACTAGGATCCGATTATTGATAGACTTTTTAGTCACCTGATGCAGATTTTCCAAAGCCATGATTCTCTGTGGGAAAACGTCATTAACCAATAGCTCGGCCTGAAATACAGAAACATTAATCTCTTGTCACAACAATAACAACATGAATAACAAAACCAGAATTGTATTAAGTGTAAAAGTATATTGAAAAACTATGCTAGTACTTGTGTACCTAGGTCATCTTAAAGCTGAAGAGATATAAGTATTGTGAATAATTTCTGAAAAGGTATTAGCATACTATTCACTGATGGTTCAACTAAATCTAATAATGTTCATACACAGTCTAAGTAAACTTAGGCTAAATATTATTCGTTACACTACTATACTGAGTCTAACTAAACCTGGTAGAAGGTCGAGCCAGCTAACCTTTTGGACTGACCAATCAGAACACAGCTTACCAAATCACAAAAGTTAACATTCGCACATACCGTTTGAACCTTTATCTAAAAAAATCGAACGATTCCGAATGCTATTTTCCGCACGATCGCTTCCGAGTGATACACGCAATGGGTAAACAGTCGCTGAAAATAGCGTTTTTGTCAATATTCATGGATGTCATCTTGCGAAAGTATATAGAGGATATTATATGAGTGCCCATGTAATACTATGTTTACGACATGAGTGCCTAAATGTTGGTATTTCCCGAGCGAGAGCAAGGGATATGCCGATATTTAGGCACGAGTGTCGTAAACATAGTATAATATGGGCACGAATATAATATTCTGTTTACTACTGAAGTCGTCAAATTGAGAAAAATAAACCCAAATGTACTTTCAAACATAGGCTGGCTACCCGCCTGTAGAACGCAACATCATAGAAGAAACGTGACGTCATAGCATTGTTCATGATGTCATGTCACCATGACAAAGTGATATTTTGCCCTAGGAAATCGTATGAAAAATATGAATCGCGATATGTTTGCCCTCGTAGGTAATAAAAGCAAATAGTAACAATAAGCGTAGAAACCCATAAGGTATATACTGCAGGTCAAATATCTGTGTTTTATGCAGATTTTCGTTTGTTGACAGATCAGTGTCAGCAACCAGGGAAGAGAAAATCCAAAAACTGTTTTGTAAGTCCTGCCGAACCCTAAAAAGTAGTCGTCGTCTGATTGGTTAAATCCATTCGGCCGCCTCGCGTTTGACTGAACAGTCATAGGTCGCTCAAAGGTTAGCTGACGCGACCTTATACTAGGTTTTGTTACGACTCAGTATAGCAGTGTAACGAATAATGCTGAGCCTAAGTTTACTTAGACTGGATTCACAGAATGCAAATTAACATGATAAATACTTCATAACTTGTAATGAAATCACTTCTAAGATCTAATTATATAGTTGAAGACACAAGGCTCTGTAAGTCACCTGAATCTTTCAAAAAATACTTGCATTGCATTAGTAGGGTAAACAGAACTTTGTAAACAATACCTTTTTACTGCCTGTCCACTGTACATATATTGAACATGAATGAATAACATTGTTAATTATAATGGCCAAAAGTAGACCAATTGATGATCAAATTTAACATTTAATGAAGTAAAATGGACGAATGGACAAAACACTCTGACATATAATCACTTTCACTCTCAATACGTACAGTTCATTTGAGCTAAATTGCAATTTTTGTGCTACAGCTGCTTTTGATATTGTCTTAACATTTTGACTTTCGAACTCAAAATCGTTTTACGGACTACTTGAAAATGAAATGAGGAAACTTCAAAGTCTTTCAAGTCATTTCAAAGACTGTTGCACTTGATCAACTTATCTAATATTGATTCATTTGGCCTTTCATCAAACTCATTCACATAACTGCTACCCTTTCCTAGTATATTACAAGGTTTTACACGACACATAATTCCTGCGTATGACGAGTCAAAATATTTTCAGACGAGTCAAAGCTGATGCAATATTTTTTCAAATAAAAGTACCTAAAATCCAAATATCTCACTAAATACAATAACTATTCACTGCATCAGATTACTTACAACAAAGAACATTGCAGAATGTGCTTTCAGAGCCCTTGATATATTTATAATTAATAATGGAATTATTTTACTGTCAAACTATTTTCACACTTCCAAAAAAAAATTTAATGTGAGTCACCATGACTCTCATTTTGCAAAGTCTATGTAAATCCCTGATAATTATACCAATTATTCTTATGTACTAGACCCATGAAGATCAGTGCTAGAATAGGTCTTCAGTAAGCCATGCTTGCCGTAAGAGGCGACTAATGGAATCTGGTGGTCAGGCTCGCTGACTTCGTTGGCATATGTCATCGGTTCCCAATTGCGTTGATTGATGCTCATGCTGTTGATCACTGGATTGTCTGGTCAAGATTCCATTATTTACAGACCGCAGCCATATAGCTGGAATACTGCTGTGTGGCTTAAAACAACCAAACCAAAAATCTTATCTACTAAATAATGTCTGTGACCAGAAAATTAGAAATGTCCTCATGTTCATGTCAATGATGTCCGGTACACATTGTTCATGTATGCAAAATTCATGAGTCTCAAGTATAAACCTTTTACCTTCTGTGAGCAATCGTCGGTAGTCCACTAAAATCTTGTCTACAACCACCACACTGGAAACACTGTCAATATTTACCCAGGTAACAAAATATGTAATTTGGGTCAAGGTAAAGACAACATTGTATATGGTCATAATAGGTTCTGCAAACTGACTGTTTGAACAACCGTTTTCAAGACTAACCATTTGTACATGCATGAAAACAGCTTGGTGAAGTACAAGCCCCCTACACATACCCCAGTAAAGTACCTTACATCTATTTGAGAAATCTAAGGTATTTCCACTGTAACGCCATCACTTAACAGTCTAATGCAAGATACAATAAAACAAAGTCCAAAGCCTCAATCTACATTAATATAAAGGTAGCAATTGACTGCATTTCAGGTTTGAGAAAACAGATGTCTACTGAAAGACAATCCTAAAACAGAAACTCCTATGCCTCCAGCTACCTTAATGAGTGTGTAAAACTTCCAATTGTAAACATGTCTTATGTACCAAATTCAAAACCAAGTCCTAGTGTTCATCACTAATTCCTCTAGATACATTTATAAGAACTTCCATCTTAATGACATCACTTTTAGAACTTCAGAGACTGGGATAGAGAACTTTGACAACGGGCCATTTTCAGGATTATTAGCCATTTTCAGAATTTAGAATGGGCCACTGCCCTTTCATCAATAGTAAACTTCAAAATTTTAATGGGCCATTTTTTTTAATAATTTTAATTGCCTTTCCCAATCCCTGGAACTTACTGTTTAGACACATCTTTAAGACTTACCTGCAGCTGTGTCAATAATACAGTCCTATTAAAAGTCAGTTTAATGACTTGAACCAACTCACTTGATGTCTTTCTGTTGAAAACATGAGTACTGGCTATAATCATAACATACAGGGATAGGGTAAGATTACAGAATACTGGATACCTTCTGCCATCTTTGAAAGCATGCGAGTTTACTTAGGGTTAGGGTAAGGTTTAAGGTTAGGTTTAGGGATGGGCTGACGTGACACTAAACAATATGGCTGATAGGTATCCGGTATTCTGTACCCAGGGATAGAAAAGCATACTTCTAAAGGTGCCATAGGGCACTAGACAAAAAATTTAGGTGTGCCTTTGTGAAAAAAACCATGCCAATACTTTTTGATGATCAAGTAAAACAGAAAACATCACAATTATGCCAGTTCAATATATATTGTAATAAATCAGTAAACATCATGTAAACTAGTCTGTCTCAAAGTCCCTGAACCACATAATTTTACCTTCTGCCCCGCCCTTTCTGTAATTCCTATAAACTAACCCACAAACTGTGTTATTATCAAAACATCATTTCCTGATATGCTCAATGGCATTCAAAATGGCCACACTCATGTTAAGCTGTGAAATTAAGATAACAGTTTGATGGGGTGGAAAAATAGTTTTTGAGTGATTTAAATTGGTCACAGTTGTCTAACAAAAAGTTCCATTTTTCTAATCATCAAATGTATCATTTTGATAACTATAAATGTGCTGCCAGGGCACATCGAAAATATTTTATCCGTGTCATTTCAAAATTTAATGTGCCATGGCACATAAATCCAGGACTATTTTTCGTTCCGACATATCATTGAAACACAAGGGCACTACCAGAAGTTCACATAGACACTACCTTCTAAATGACTATCATAGTGACCTTGACCTTATGTAAGTTGGATATAAACAGCACTTCAGCCATATCTTCAAATTTCAACTTAACCATGTTACCTTGGAAGGAATCCCGAAGGAGGTTTTAGACATTTATCATGCAGGTGAAACCCTAGACTAAGGCTTAGTCTCTGAATATATATAATTTTGATAGTAACGAACAAGCCCATTTATATTGAAAAGGAGCCCTAGGGAGACCAGAGAGGAAATCTAGACTTGCTTTATTTAGGGCTTTAGCACTGCAGAGAGGGCTTGGCAGTAGGGAGATTAATGTGGTTCAGGGACTGCGAGACAGACTAGTGAAACCCCTGAGCAGGAGTATTGTGTTAACAAAAAAAAGAAACAATCGGGACAACCTGGAATGCAATCCCACAATCATATGATCCTTAGGGATGCAACTCTGCACCAAACAAAAGGGACAAAGGTTAGTGCTTAACCAAACACAAAATAACAATACAGTAGATTTATTTTCAGGAATCAAACCTAGTTCAATAGTGATGTACTTGACACTTTGTCCACATTAGTTTGCCATTAATGGAAACATAATAACTGTGAAAATTCAGAAATACTTACATCTTTCTTTGTCTTCTCAAAAAAACTTTTCCAGCTGAAAAACATTAGATGACTAAAATAAATTGCAGGAAGCACTTAAGGTCTAATCATCAAATTACATAATACTTCAGAAATGTAAGTACTGCTTGGTAAACCCTTGAGATTATGACACTGCATAAGCAAAAATTGATGCAGAGAATTTTCCTTGGCATACAGATGTCAGTAAATTCTAAAATGAGAAAGAAAATCCTTCTCTATTCACATTAACGTAGTTATGTACTGGACATGTAGAGACTCGTTCTTCAGACAATGAGCCTAACAAAGCCACATAAAGATCACACTGAACGCAATATTGAGCAAACAGATAAAAAAAGAATAGTCATAACCATAAGTCTAGGAATTTGGTATGTTCCTCGTCTTATTTGTCATATGTAACAGTTTGACGAGTCACTGTTTGAATATTCTTGCAACTGCAAAACCATATGCCAACACACATTAGTCAAATGACAACACTTGAGTATAAGGGTCAAATCATGGTATTTATGATACATTTACGGATTCTCTGACAACTCTCACAGTTCCATATTATTTTCTCTACCTCTTAGCACTTTTTTTTTGTAGCAAAAAAACCCTCAAGCGCCTTGAGCATGTACTAGTTGTGTGGCTATGTGCGCTATATAAATATCCTATCATTATCAAATGAAGCAAGTCGAGATTTTCCTCAGGTTCAGTTTGCTTTATGCTCATAGGCACTTCTCTGATATTTATCAATAATCAATCGATATTTAGTTAATGATTATCAATCTGTATGATCTATATCGATACCAAGTCCTAATGGCAAGTTAAGAACTGCGCTTTCCAGCTCCCGCTGTATATTTTAGTCAAAATGCACATAAACTAAAATTAGTGGGCCCTTTGAGTCGGCTTTAACCGTAGTTTTCTGTACAAAGATTATGCAAGAATGAAGACAACCTGGTTCACAGTATTTCCCTTATTTTTATGTTTATCCTAACAACAGTGTGCCATATTCCTTCATTTATTCATCTTCCACTTATGTGTGTTTACAAATCCTGTAATACTTAATCGCCATGGCTGATCACAGGTCAGACTTATATTAAGTGGCAGCCAGTGATACTCCAAAGATCAGGAAACCGTAGCACTAAGTAAAGGCATTCATTCTGCAGAAAAACCAAACATGTCTATGGAGTATGATAGGAGCGATATATGAAAAGTGGGTGGACCAGGTTACTTGCTGACACATAACTGAAAATGGTGCTAACTGACAGATGCTATGTCTTGTAAGACTCTTGCTCTTCTGCAAGTCAGAGCAGATGTGACAAAATCATGCCTGATTGAGCCATTAAGGCACAACCAAAAGAAGCTACAGGTTCACTCTTGTCTTTTCTGGAGAACAACATATATGCGTGTACCCTTGTTTGCTGGAGCATAGAAATCTCAAGCCAGATCTTTTGACATCAGTGTCAACAACTGAAGCTTGCAATTTGTGGCAAACAAGCTGAAATTTAGAAAATAGTCTGGAGGGTGTCCAAGTGCAATTGTCACTCCTGGGGAGCTGACTGGCTTGGGGATTGAGAGCATGAGAGAATGTTGGAAACACCCAGGATCTTGTGATCTCTCACCTCTAGTGGGATGTTGTCTTTGAGATTGAAGAATGTGAAGGTGTGATCCAGTAGACTTTTGGAGTGAATGGATCTCACCTGATCGAACCACTGTGTCGCTGTCTGTTGCTATCATGAGTTGTGTTCCCTGCACTATTGTGTGCCATATCTAAATGGCTAGAAGAGCAGGTGGAAACTCTAAGCAGATGATGTGCCAATGGAGAAATGAGGCAGTCTACAGTCCAGAAGTCTGAGATAACATGCCAACATGGGATCTCTCACAAGACTGTCATTGATGTACAAATTGAAGGGGATCCCCAGCCAGTGTAAGAGTGCTCTGAGGGGTGTGTGAGAAAAAGCAAACATGGGAGTATGGTTAAATCAGAGGATGCAAGAAGGCATCCTGGAGGTTGAGTATGCCCAGGAAGTAGCCAGGCTGGGTGGTAGACTGGAGCTGCATAAGACCAACCATCTGAAACCAGCAATGCTTGTCCAACAAACTGTGACCGAATACTTTCAAATTGAAAATCATACACTGCTTGACAAATTGTTCTATGGAACCTGGAAGATGCAGCTAAAAAATCCTGGTCTAAAGACGTCAGGAGACAGAAGCTCTACTGCACCCTCGTATCCAGAAGAAGCAGGCTGCTGACCTGTACCATCTCCAAAAGATTGTCTGGGTATGGCGGTATCAGCTGCATGACCGTTTCAAGCACCTGTGCTATATAGGATAACTGGTACCTTTAGCATACTAAAAACATGCTATATACAGGCAATGAAAGAAATGATGACTAGTATGTGGAAGCATGGGGATCGGAGGATGTATTCAGGTGAATGTTCTACCTTGTTCCCCATTGTAAGATGATCAAAGCAAGAAAGTTGTCAAGAGATAAGTTGAAAAATTGATCAATAAACTGGTTTACAGAGGTAATTGTGTATCTGTACTCAAAATATATATAAAATATATAATCCATTTAATACATTCCCTGTGTTACTTTTGAGTCCACATAACGACACTAAAATTTCCAAGCCATAATTTTTGGTGTTAAGTGACCCAGGCTCTAAACTAGTGCCTTAAATGGGCTTACTGCAAAGACATCGTGGTAAATTTGTTCACTACATCTGAATCAAGAGAATGGTGATACAAAGGATAATCAAGGATTCTTATAAAATTGGCAAAGGCAATTATAAAAGGAAACACAACAATATGCAAACATGAAATAACTGAAGTTTTGAAGCAACAAAACATGAACAATTTCATGATAACATGATACAGGTCCAAATAATGCTAAAAATAAAAATATGCCAACAATGAAAACAGGTGTTCATCATAATATGCAGTTATTACACAAGCTGGATTGGAATTTACACCAACCACCTTGCCAAAATTGGTTTGTCTTATATTCACGTTATCATGAGGGTAACTTGCCTTCAGGGTGTTCAGACATTCCTAAAACAATTTTTTTTAGATTTTGTGTAGCATCTGCATGGAATGTGGGTATCCAAAGAAGTCTGTTTTAAATAATCAATGTGTTTTTGAATCTATTGACACCCTGACATATATCTTTTACGTATATCACAGAGGCAATAACAAGGATCTAACATGTCATATTTGGGATTACAATTTCTCAGTAATGCACAGTTCTACTACATTAAGGGGTTGAGTCCCATCCAGGGTACACAATGCTATTTTGAAAGTGGTCAGCTATAACAATATTATGCTATATTTGGCAGTACACTTTCTCAGTGTTGAGTCCCATCAGGGATTCAAACACACACTCATAAGTCAGGATCTAACCCACTCTGCCAACAGAGGTGTGCATGAGAATATAGTGTTCACATGCATTATACCGGATACCTGATGAAAATAACCCTAACCCCTAACCTAACCCTGCTAGGTATCCGGTAAAATGCATTCTTATCGAATATAGTTTTATACAGCAAAGCGACCATACCTATCGCCAGTACTCTGTAAGACTTCAGATTTCACAATTAGGCAAACAAAACAATTAATTTGTTCACATCTTATGATTTTCTCATTGAAAGTGAAACATTTCATGGCATTTGTTAATGGAAACAAGTAGATTTGTCAAAGCAAAACCATGTGCAACATCCTGAATGATCTCTGGAAGATATTTTGATGTAGAATCTGGGCTGGTTGAAAGGAAATAGGGAAAACCATTTTTCTACAATGTGATTGGCTTCATACATCAATGGCATTTATAATCTTTATTGAACAGTGTGTTTTTCTTAATCCAGTCAAGCTGGCAATTAGTATTTTGGCACTAATTCAAAGAAATAACACACTAGGTTTGTCTTCAATTTATTCTGCACAGCATTTAGGTTGTCGCCAATAATAGCAACTGAGAGACAAAATGTCCAGTTATATCCCAGACTTTCAGGGATTTTACATCTAAGTAGGATCCAATAATATTAGGACAATTGCTAATAATTGCACGCATATCTTTCTTGAATGTCGTTACTGATAAATTATCGTCTGCAACGTTCCTTGAAATTCGTGCAGACGAACATATTGAATGATCACTGTGTATGACAACATAATTTCAACACAACCATTCGTGAAATTATTGAAGCACTCCCCAAAACAATAACCTCCATGAATCCAATGGTGGGAACGTTGGAAATACTGATGAACGTGTAATACAAACAACCCAATCAACTTCAAAACTAAGAAAACGTGGTAACGACTTTAGAACACAACTTTTCAAATAATGTTCGTTTTGTACCTCTAAGTCGCTATCTAATGTAGAAGTGTTTCGAATTACCTCTTTCACCGAAGAGGACTCTTGTTTAGGCATTGTTGTGTATTTCTACAGAAACAGAACGAAAAATATTAAGAAAGACACGACAATATGCCAATCACACGCGTCTTCCGCCAAAACTTCCTTTCGTGACGCACATGCGCAAACGGAAGAATATAAGGGAGATAATGCATACATTACACGGCATACGAAACATTGTTGTCTTATATATGAAAAATGTTGGTTCGATCCTAGCCTACTGCCTATAATTTTCTTCGCACAATTTTCGAAGGAGAAATTTCATGAATTAGTAAGTGTATTTCGTTACCTTTGTGACTGTTTACCACTCGATAATTGCGCCAAGTAAAAAATACAAAGCTAATAGTCCTTTGTTATCATTTATTTCAATAAAGAAAGATTTGGGGGAAATATTAGGGTGAGGTACGATTCTGGACCATCTTGTGCTATTCTGGACAAGCCGAATTCAAACTCGTACCCTATAAGATGGGTATGAACACGAGATCTACTTCAAACAAGAACGACAACTTTTGATCTACTGGCGTCTTATTCCATTTGGACGCGGTCCGTTTGTTCTACCGTTACAGTGGGAAGATCGCCTATGTATACATGTATACCACTGGAATAAAGTAAATGTGCATATTTTACCTTTGCCATTTTTAATGCAAGAACATAATGACGTGATTTGTGGTGTTTTCATTAATTACTGTTTAACTGTTGACAGGATAATATCGAAATCTGTATGGTTTGACACTAGCTATCGTGACGCGCTTGAAGAGAAGTGATGTACTAAGTCAGTTCACAAATTCACTACCGTGTGTGTCCACCATTGGCGTTGATGCAAGCTTGACAACTACGACGCATAGACTACACTAAGCGATTGAAGAAAGCTTAGGAATGTCTGAACCAACACTGGTTCCAATTCAGCTAACGTCGATTCTGGGCTTGACGTAAACGTCGCTCCATTTCACCCCAAGCGTGCTCAATAGGGGACATGTCCTGAGAAACAACTGGCCATTGAAGTACCAAATCTTCTGCTGTGTCAGGAAATCTGTCACAACACGAGTGACATGAGGACGGGCATTATCTTGAACTTTAGTCTCTGTCCATGAATAAACGGCAGCACATGAAACCCAATCATCTCATCTCTGTATCCAGACCTGTCAGATTGCCATTGACAATAGCAAGTTATAAGTTATGTCCAACCATGGGAATAGTCTACCGTTCTTAAATTTTTAATATCGGGTGAGTGAACTTCAGGTGTCAAAAGCCCGTTGAAGATCCGGGTTAGAATTGATCTTCAGTAACCCATGTTTGTCGTAAGAGGCGACTAACGAGATCGGGTGGTCAGGTTCGACGACTTGGTTGACACATGTCATCGCATCCCAATTGCGTAGATCTATGCTCATGCTGTTGACGACTGGAATGCCTGGTCCGGACACAATTATTTACAGACCGCCGCCATATAGCTGGAATATTGGTGAATTCACTCACTCACTCAGGTGTCAAAAAGCATGCAAAAAAGTAAGTTCATTGTGCACAAAGTGTATGTGCCAGGCGCGATACTTGACATCACATTTCATGCAAAGTGCTTTGTTACATGTTTATTTAGGGTTATTTTTATAACTTTTCAAATAACTTCTATTTTATGCTAGTTTATGTTATACACAGTTACCTTTTTCGTTAGTATACACATGGAACATTTTGTTTTGCCATGTTTGTTTCATTTCGCGTTAGATTTGCCATTATCACTTGAAGAGTCAATTAATCCAGATAGCAGTGAGTGAGTTTAGTTTTACGCCGACCGGAAAATGTTTTGTCTTATGAAATGGGTAGTGTTGGAATATAGCTTTGATGTTGTATGGACGTTGCATTATATATATCATGTTTAACTTGCACAATTGATAAATACCAATTAATTTAAACTGCGAACTTTTACTCTATATTATTTCCTGACCACCACCACCCACAAAACAAGATCAAACAAACAAACAAACAAAACCACCCCAAAACTAGCTAAATCAAAACAATCATAGTAATCTTTGAAAACTTTTCACCTTGAATACAATGACATGAATATATGTTCTGCTTGTATACATTACCTGACATAATAGCTTATGAAGTTGTCATGAAGGCCGACACTTTTCAAGAAATGGTCAATTATAATTCTGTAAAAGCTTTAAATAATTCAGAAGTTTCAATATTGGCACAACAACTGCTGACAGTTTTCTGAAAGTAATTTTAAATGATATGCTAGATTGTATAGTTTTAGATAGACATGTTTTGGATATGACACCACCCGAAAAAGTTCGTCACGCTTCCGTGAAAACTGCCCAAGATACAACTTTGGAATATCTGTAAATAGGGTTTATGCACATGAAGCATCTCTTAACAGAAACTGATCTACAATCTCTGTTGTCTGGAATTCTGGTGTCATTTTGAACACGGTTAACACAAGTTAATTTGTCAATCAAGAAATCTCATCTTTAAGCCACTAAACAAACACCAATCAGTTGCAAGACAAGTTCAGGGAACATCAAAGGAAAATAAGGTCTGCCTCATGTGCATAGTTTGAAACCTAACGGTCTGCGTCATGTGCAGACACCGTACATAGTAACAGGCAACAGTGTTCGATGTGATCAATACGTGAATGGCGTTTGGGGAACCTAGGCTGTATTGATTTATAGATAGAGATAAGAGATTACCAATGAACGGACAGACATATCATCATTCTGAACATCGTTAGCTTCGAGTGTATTTGATTTTCTCTGATCACTGCCGACAATGTGTGTCTTTCCTAAACACTAACTGACATACGTCATTATATACCACATTAAACCTGTATACCTTATAGTACCCTGTACACTAACTGACATACGTCATTATATACCACATTAAACCTGTATACCTTATAGTATCCAGAACACTAACTGACATACGTCATTATATACCATATTAAACCTGTATACCTTATAGTAAACTATACACAGACATACGTCATTATATACCACATTAAACCGGTATACCTTTTAGTATCCTGTACACTACCTGACATACGTCATTATATACCATATTAAACCTGTATACCTTATAGTATCCTGTACACTAACTGACATACGTCATTATATACCACATTAAACCTGTATACCTTATAGTAACCTATACACTGACATACGTCATTATATACCATATTAAACCTGTATACCTTATACTATCCTGTACACTAACTGACATACGTCATTATATACCATATTAAACCTGTATACCTTATAGTATCCTGTACACTAACTGACATACGTCATTATATACCACATTAAACCTGTATACCTTATAGTAACCTATACACTGACATACGTCATTATATACCATATTAAACCTGTATACCTTACACTATCCTGTACACTAACTGACAAACGTCATTATATACCATATTAAACCTGTATACCTTATAGTAACCTATACACTGAAATACGTCATTATATACCATATTAAACCTGTATACCTTATACTATCCATCCTGTACACTAACTGACATACGTCATTATATACCATATTAAACCTGTATACCTTATAGTACCTGTACACTAACTGACATACGTCATTATATACCATATTAAACCTGTATACCTTATAGTATCCTGTACTTATGGTATTACACACTAACTGACATACGTCATTATATACCATATTAAAACCTGTATACCTTATAGTATACCTATACCACACCTGTATCCTGACATACGTCATTATATACCATATTAAACCTGTATACCTTATAGTATCCTGTACACTAACTGACATACGTCATTATATACCATATTAAACCTGTATACCTTATAGTATCCTGTACACTAACTGACATACGTCATTATATACCATATTAAACCTGTATACCTTATAGTATCCTGTACACTAACTGACATACGTCATTATATACCATATTAAACCTGTATACCTTATAGTATCCTATACACTAACTGACATACGTCATTATATACCATATTAAACCTGTATACCTTATAGTATCCTGTACACTAACTGACATACGTCATTATATACCATATTAAACCTGTATACCTTATAGTATTCTGTACACTAACTGACATACGTCATTATATACCATATTAAACCTGTATACCTTATAGTATCCTGTACACTAACTGACATACGTCATTATATACCATATTAAACCTGTATACCTTATAGTATCCTGTACACTAACTGACATACGTCATTATATACCATATTAAACCTGTATACCTTATAGTATTCTGTACACTAACTGACATACGTCATTATATACCATATTAAACCTGTATACCTTAAAGTATTCTGTACACTAACTGACATACGTCATTATATACCATATTAAACCTGTATACCTTATAGTATCCTGTACACTAACTGACATACGTCATTATATACCATATTAAACCTGTATACCTTATAGTATTCTGTACACTAACTGACATACGTCATTATATACCATATTAAACCTGTATACCTTATAGTATCCTGTACACTAACTGACATACGTCATTATATACCATATTAAACCTGTATACCTTATGGTATCCTGTACACTAACTGACATACGTCATTATATACCATATTAAACCTGTATACCTTATAGTATCCTGTACACTAACTGACATATACGTCATTATATACCATATTAAACCTGTATACCTTATAGTATTCTGTACACTAACTGACATACGTCATTATATACCATATTAAACCTGTATACCTTATAGTATCCTGTACACTAACTGACATACGTCATTATATACCATATTAAACCTGTATACCTTATAGTATCCTGTACACTAACTGACATACGTCATTATATACCATATTAAACCTGTATACCTTATAGTATCCTGTACACTAACTGACATACGTCATTATATACCATATTAAACCTGTATACCTTATAGTATTCTGTACACTAACTGACATACGTCATTATATACCATATTAAACCTGTATACCTTATAGTATTCTGTACACTAACTGACATACGTCATTATATACCATATTAAACCTGTATACCTTATAGTATCCTGTACACTAACTGACATACGTCATTATATACCATATTAAACCTGTATACCTTATAGTATCCTGTA